CAGCAGCTATGCAAAGAACACCGTAGTGGCTCTTCTAGGAGCCCTGCATGTTCTCTACACAGTGAGAAACATATTGTATATTTATTTTTATTTTGTAATTTATATGTTTAATTTTCACTTTATTTAATTCAATCATCAGAATGGTTACATATTAAAATTTCAGTTTCCTAAAAAAGTTATTTCCTTATTTATATCTTACCAGTGTTGATATTAACTAAAACTGATACAATTGTACTTAAGTACTTTTTTTTCAGTTCTAGTTATTTTGAGATTATATATATATATATATATATATATATATAATATTTTTATTATATGCTTTATTTCAATTAATGAAAACAAATTCCACATGTTGTAGTTGCCAAGGTAACATTTCTCATTTTTGTTAAGCTGATTTCTTCATATATATATATATATATATTAGATGATGAAATCAGCTTAACAAAAATGAGAAATGTTACCTTGGCAACTAAATTTAATAAAATAAGAAATAAGTTTGTCCTAAAATTACTAAAACAAATAAAAATAAAGCTAAATAATATAAAACATTTAAAAATGAAGACCTAATAAAAATGACAAAATCACATTTTAAGAAGCACAACAAAATTAAACTTGAAATAAATTGAAAATTGAAAACTGAAAATATAAAAATAACAGCCAATCCAACTTATTAATAAATAGTATAATTGCACGTAAATAATACTAAAATAGCACTGGGACTTACAGAACTAATGCCCTTCTATTTCTGCTTCTTTGTTCTCTAGTTTTTGACTTTTCTGCTTGTCGGTATCAGCGTAACCTAGTTATATTTCTGTGTCATCAGCCTTTAGAGGTGAGGGAGCACAAGTCGTCCCCTCATAAGGTGGCTGTGCTGGGCATCTGGGTGAAGAACCAGGCGCAGGGAGAAGCCGTTACTGAGCTGGCCACTGCTCTGGAGAGCGGCAGGTATGAGTCTGTGGAAACAATGTTTTATTTTAGCATTTCATATGGACAAAGATCTTTAATTAACCAGGTATCTCCGAGGATCCATTGTGTACAAAAATCAATAAAAAAAGATGATTTGTTTATGGTATAGGCTTGTCTATCGTGACATCGGTGGCTCTGACCCGGAGCGAATGGCTGCCCCACGTGTAGCTGAATATGTGCAAGCAGTTTTCAAGGATAGTCCTGTAACGGTGAGTCTTTATGTGAGCATTTAAAGCTCTCTCTCATCTCAGTAAGAACTGACATGCTTTATTCATCTGCATGTCTTTGCTAGGTGACAGTAGTGAGTAATTTGAATACTCTGGAGAAGGAGTATCCCTGTTTGGCTGCAGTCAACCGCTGTGCTAACAGTAAGACTTTTGTTTTTCGAACACTGAACTTATTTTCATTGCTGCCATTTAACCAAAAACATACATAAATAATAAATATTACAAATAATACAGCTAATCTTTCTTTAACAATGATAATAATAAGCAAATCAGCATATTAGAATGACTGGAGTATGCTGGAGTAACGATGCTGAAAATTCAGCTTTGCATCACAGGAATAAATTACATTGTAAAATATATTCAAACAGAAATGAGTTGTTATAAATTGTAATAATATTTTGCAATATTACGGTTTAATTTTGATCAAATAAACTCAGCCTTGGTGAGCATAAGACACTTCTTTCAAAGATATTTTTTTTAAATCATTCTCGTAATATATGCAACATTTTTACAGTATAACCTTTTTCTTTTCTTTTTTTACAATATCTTTTTACATTTTCATTGTAAGTAATCAAAGTAAATGTGCTTGTTGTTGAGCCAATTTACACTGATAGTATAATGAGCTATGAGACCATGAACCAAGACCATGACCTAGACCAAATCCACATTTATGTGTTCTTGAGAGCTCAAGACTCCAGTTCTGGGTATCATTAGTGTGTTGTGTTATGTAAAGTGCACTTAAGGCTCATGATTGTGCTTCAGCTGTGCCGCGCCACCAGGCCCGAGTGATCAAGCTGCTGTACTGTGGGGAAGGACCCATTCAACAGACCCTCATGGTGGTTGGCAAGGTGAGTTTTAGGTTAACTGTATTTGGACGCCCAGGATAGAAGAGTTTCCGGCACATATGAACATTGTATGTTGTTGCAGGGCATTACGTATGACACCGGTGGTGCCGACATCAAGGCCGGAGGAATCATGGCTGGAATGCACAGAGATAAATGTGGATCTGCGGCTGTTGCTGGCTTCTTCCAGGTACTGATCACATATGCACCTGCTCGTATTACTGACGAGAATATTAGTCTAATATCAATGTATGTTTATTTTTTTAAGATCTTAGCCAAACTAAAGCCCAAACACCTGAAGGTTGTGGGTGCAATGGCAATGGTGCGGAACAGTGTCGGATCTGGTAAGCAATTTTGTGTGCATGTTTTGTCCAGTTTGGGTGTCTATTGCTAAATATGGGTCATCTATTATTATTTATTAAAAAATTTTTACCCTTTGGCAGATTGTTATGTAGCTGATGAGTTGGTGGTGTCTCGTGCTGGTCGCAGGATTCGAGTTGGAAACACTGATGCTGAAGGAAGAATGGTGATGGTGGACTTGCTATGTGAGATGAAGGAGCAGGTACTTGCATATTTCAGCATACACTCTAAAGTAGTGTGCATTACGATTTAAGATTTAAAGGGGCCCTATCATGACATCAAGACCATTTTGTTATATGAAAAATTACTCTGACAGAACCAAAAAGACTACTGAAACCCAGATGCCAAAACACTGAAATGTAGGAAGGTCTAATTTGCATGTATGTATCACCTACAGCTCTGCTTATCATCATTTTATATATATATATATATATATATATATATTATTTGAATTAGAATTACAACAGTTACAATTTTGAATAAGCTTGATTTTTTTTTTTCAGTTATTCATTTGTTGAAGTTTAAATTGTCATTTAATATTTAGTTTTAAGATTTATTTCAAATAATAAAATTTTTTAAAGTTTTAATTTAGTTTAGTTATGGTTTTGTATATTATTTATTTCAGTCATGAAACTCTAGATGTTGTAGGCTGACAGACCCATTACATATAATCTGCTAACATCACACCGTGTGATTGCTTGCTCAACATTTAAATTGTCTGGTTCAGCGTTCACTGTACAGTTCCTCCAAAACCCTCCACCTTCCCCAGTTCCACCTGTCTAGATCTCCTACGGGATTTATGATTACCTATTCATGCAGCTGCAGCATATCTTACATGCTCACAGCAGTGTGGACCTCTTTTGTGCTTCTTTAGGCATTGAAGGAGGTGTCTCCTCAGCTTTTCACTATCGCTACTCTGACAGGACATGCTATCAGAGCCATGGGACCTCATTACTCTGTGAGTACTTCAACATACTCCTACACACCTTCTGAAGGTTGAGGAAATTCCATTATGACTCTCCATGTGTCACTGTAGATCATAATGGATAACGGTGCTGCTCAACGCTCAGGAAACGCTCTGCAGTGGCAGAAAGGTAAGAAGAGCTAAGAATCGTTTGTTTTTGCTTCCATTAACATAGCTTCATTTGTCTGAAATCTGTTTGTGTGGCAGCGGGAGAGGTGCTGGGAGATCTGTTTGAGGTGTCCACCATTCGTAGAGAGGATTACGAGTTCCACAAAGGGAAGTCTGAGTATGAAGAGATCCTGCAGTCTAATAACCTGCCCTCATCCGCCACACCGCGTGGACACCAGACGCCTGCCGCCTTCCTCATCATGGCTTCTGGACTGGATAAGGTAGACAAACACAAAATGGGTGTATTATCAGTTCAGGATTTATTTAAGATGTAACAGTTTTGCTCAAATATATCCATTAACCATGTTTGTCCCACAGCATGGAGTGGACTCGGACAAACCTCTGCCTTACTCTCATATCGACATTGCTGGATCCAGCGGCCCCTTCCCTGGTGTCCCCACAGGCGCCCCAATTCTTGCCATGGCAACAAAGTACCTGGAGCTTTAAATGCATGTCCAGTGATTTTTCTGGTCCTTTATTTCAGTTATTTCCATCTAGTGCCATTTCTCGATTAATGGCTTTCATATCTGCTCCGTCTGACATGTTGTGTGTTCATGCAAGACTGGGGCAAATCATGACCTTTGCTCCTTCTAACCCATCTTGAACAGTCCATTTTCTCATTTTGTTGTCACTCCATAAATACATCTCTTAACATCCTTAAAAACCTCTACGCTCCTCTTACTCGCACACAAAATCATCTTATCCGATTATTCTTTAGTACGGTGCACGTTTTCTGTTTCTAATTAGCATTTACCGAGCTGAAAGTGAATTAACCAAAGTGATTTATTTCTGTTCTTACCTTGTAGCCTTAGTTTCTGAGTTGAACTGACATGGAAGAGGTGGGGAAGTTGAGCCAGTGATTGATAATTTACATCTGTGAATTTGTTTGGCAATACTGAGAAAAATGCATATTGTACAACTGCCCATTTTGTACTAGTATAGTTGTGTAATCAAGAAGAAGAAAAAAAAAGACACGATGCCTTCTGTATCCAGTCAAGTTTGACCATAAGAATAAATGTCTCTGAAGTTTTGTACTAGTATAGTTGTGTAATCAAGAAGAAGAAAAAAAAAAAGACACGATGCCTTCTGTATCCAGTCAAGTTTGACCATAAGAATAAATGTCTCTGAATAGAATGTGTGTGAAGGTTTGTGAAATGCCATAGTACTGCTTCACTGACAAAAGGACAAAGAAATGAGCAGTTTTTTTTATTATTCTATTCAAAATGTGCATCTTAAAGGCACATGTTTTTGTTTTTTCTTTAACAATAGGTTACTATATTATAAATCAAAGAATTGCACAATGATCAAACTATATGAAAACACCCAAATCAATATAAACCTGTACTTAACATTTTATCGCAAAGGCATCGGAGACTACAATCAGAAATGCCAAAATATATGTAAATGTAAAAAAAAAAGAAAAGTGAATGGTCTTTTAATAAATTAAATCGGTTCTAAACAAGACAAACAGAATGCCAGTGAATACCAATCCTTTATTCATTTGAACTTAGTCAATATGCAGGTTCTGTATCACAGGTTTCATCAAGAAAAAAAAAAGGGAAAATTGAGAAAAATTAAACCCTCTACAACATTTTATATAGCCTTTTCTGTCTTTACATATTTTCTTCACTGAACACATAGCAAGTAGAGGAGTCGGCTGCTCTCCGATGCCTTTTAACATCTGAACACTATTGAACATGAGCAGCTCTGAATCCTGGCTAATAAATGAAGGTTCTAATATATTCAAGTGCTTTAAAGATCCACCAAGTTCTCGGCTATTCCAGCAGAACAATTTTTTCTTTTACTTATTGTGTCTGATTGTGAAAGGCAGTTCTCAGGCTGAACAGATAATAACAGCTGGTAAGAGTTGAATACAGACTGAAGTCCACACCAAGAGTTTAGAGCTTCTTAATAAACAGGAAGAAAATGTGTGGTGGCATGTAAACAAGCAAGAATGTGTTACAATCAGCATAGTTTTGTGTGCATGTGTCTGACAGGAAGAATAACTCAAAAGCATATAATCCTCACTACAGGTTCTTCACTTTGTGCGTTATTTAGGATGTTAGCATTGCTAAATTTAATTCCCAGACTCAAAGCATCATGGTTGAAGTACAAAGGTGTCACAGATATGATGGAGGGACAGGACGTTTCTGCAGCTGGCTGACTGCTACCTCAGGACCCCCCCAAAATATATAACTGCAACCCATAACCAACCACCATGTCATTTTTCTCCACCCTCATTCTGGACAATATTGGAATATCAGCTCTAAACTACAGCACCATGTCAAATGTACCTGATCTAGGCTCTTAAATTTCAGCATATGTCCCTTCTGTAAGAAACACAGAACAAGTGTATAATCACTGCTGATACTGAGCTTCCTGCAGGTCACTGAATGTCTGGAGAGGTTCTCATTCAACAGGGGCATGAAAAAAGGAGGGAAACTGCTGTTGAGGGTCATAATGAACCCTAAGCATATGGAAGGAATAAGGCAGAAAGTAGAAACGGGAGTGAAGGGTGGACTTCAGTGTTTACTTGGTGTGAACCATAGAGGTGCTGAACAGAAGCTTCTGCTTTTTCTTCTTCTTCTTCCCCCCTTTCTCATCTATAAAGTAGAGAAGAAATGTCACATGGGTAACAAACATTATGGCAAACCAAAAGCTATATAAAAAAAACAAGCTTTCATCATTTATACTTTGTTTCAGAGTGAGATAACTGATGGGAGTGTGGTTTCATGTTAATGAATCGGCAGGTTCAAAGAAACACTTTATTGAATCATGACTAATAAGTGTTTCCAGAAGTCTCTGTGCGGCATTATGCACTTGTGGTTTAACGTTTTATTATTTGTCATTTCTGTGACAAATAAACACTGCTTTGAATTTCTCTTTAAATTTAACTACGAACTACCATTTAAAAACTTGGGGTCAGACTTTTTTTTTTGGTAAACAATTTAATACTTTCATTCAGCAGTGATGCAATAAATTGATCAAAGTGACAGTAATATTACACATATACATATATATATATTTTTTTTTCCATATTCATTCATGCTAAATTTGTTCCAAATGAAAACTGTTGGTTCCCTATATTCCTCAAGATATCTTTTGTATTCAACAGAAGATAGAAATTCATACATGTTTGGAACAACTTGTGGGTGAGTAAATGATAACAATTTGCATTTTTGGGTGAATTAAAATATGAATCTTTTTTTTTTTTTTTTCTCACCAGGGATGGGTAAAGCCTGTGCTGGAGTTTGATTTCCATGGTCCAGCTGGGACAAAGCCTGCTCAAAAGCCTGACTGAAGGAGTTTTGGAAACTGGGTACTGGGACCCGATCAGAGCCGTCACTCTCTCCATCACTGTCTGCCAGAGGAGGGGCCAGGAACATGTCTGCTGTGGAGGAAAACACATCACTAAAAATTACTACTAATAATTGAAGGTTCTAATAAAGGTCACTAAAACCCACTAAAAACTATGCTATTAGGAGTTAGTGTAGCCAGTGAGCCAACAAGAATCAAGTGTAACAGGTAAGTCAAGTGATGACAGAACCCTCACCTTTCTTTGGGGTAGTTTTAGGCCCGGCATCCACACGGGCTTTCCCATCTTTCAGCATCTGCACACATTAATATGGTACATTTAGGCACAACTCTCAAGATGGCATTGTTTTTATTTCTCGATTTAAATTCAATTTGATTTTAGTGATGATTTTCCCACCACATGAAGGCTACAAAATTGACTATTTTGTTATAAACATGAAAGAAAGTGCTTTAGGCAGTCTGAGAGAAATGACAGGCAAACCTGAGCGAAGGACATGCAGTGAGAATCCTCTTCTACACTGGCTACGCTCCGAGATGGACTGTGCTCGCTCAGATTAGGAAACATCACTCCATCTGAAATAAAAACAGGTCATAAGCACAGAAGACTAACCACTGAAGGCCACTGCAAGAGAGAGTGCGTGCTACCTGATGAAGGGCTGCTGCTTAGAGGAGACGGGGGGCCCAGCAGGAGCTCTGGGAGCTGCACCTGTGAGCCGCTCTGAGGCGGCGATCCAAAAGCAGGAAAATGCTGGAGGTTCTCAAGTCCAATGTGCACCTCTGGATCTGAAGAACACACAAAAATAAATGCAATAATCAAACCAATCACAACACCCTGAAATTAGCTGAATGTTCTACAATCAAACATTGTCTAGTTTCATGAAAATGTGCGCCATGTTTGCGCAGAAACACATGCAATGAGGAATTAAATTCTCACATTTGCCATGTTTCCTGTTTTCCTCAATTTCAATCCTCTTCTCCCTTCTCTTTTCATCCCTCGCTTTCTTCTGCCTCAGGCGCTTCCGTTTCTCCAAGTCATCTGCCGGAAATAGAAAAAAATGTGTTTAATAACATTTTTTGTAGGACTGAACCATTTACCAATACATTTTCCCTCATTTTTTGTCATGTCATTTTTTTCTTCAGTTCAATTAATGAAACCGCAATTATGATATCACTATGCAACAAGTATACTTCAACAAGAATGCATTAAATCAAAAGCGTCAGAAAAGACATTTACAAAACATTAAACATTTTTGAAAATAAAATTGCTTCAAATAAATGACATTTAAAAATAAAATAAAAAATGTTAAGCAGGACAACCATTCTCAGCACAGATAAGAAATGTTTCTCGAGCAGCAAATAAGCATATTAGAATGATTTCTGAAAGATCATGTGACACTGAAGACTGGAGTAATGATGCTGAAAATTCAGCTTTACCATCACAGGAATAAGTTACAGCTCAAAATGTATTAAAATATAAAACGGTTATTTTAAATTGTAGCAATATTCCACAATATTAATGTTTTTACTGTATTTTTGGTCAAATAAATGCAGCCTTTGTGAGCATAAGAGACTTCTCTCAAAAACATTGGCTGACCTCTTCAACCACTGTCTGTTATTCATCTATGTAGGGGTCATGATGGGGTTTAATAGTTTAATGTTTATGTGCATGTACCTGCGAAGCTGTCCAGGGTCTCTTTTGAGAGAATGGGAGGCTGAAGGTTGAGCTCACACAGGCTGAACTCACAGGTGAGGGGCAGGTGAGAGAGGTAACGATGTCGACGGCGAATTTCCTAAAAATGAAGCCTGTCGATCAGTTTCTTAATGGTAGGCATTACTGAATCAGTTCAAGACCTGATTCTGCGAGCGTGATATAAATGTACCCCAGTCAAGCATGCTTCAGTGGTGCTATGACTTCAGACACTAGGCATGATAGCACCATACCACACTGCTCTTTCACTCTAGTATAAAGTTTTCAGTAAGCAGTAGACTAGCATTGCATTCTGACAACAGCTACCACTACTCTGGTGACATGAATGTGTGAGAATAAGAGATGCGTGTACCTCAGTGACAGTCTGTCCATCAATCTCCACTACGGTAGCGGTGATAGACTGAGGGCTGTTCTCCAGGCTCCCGTACTCTCTCAGCAGACAGCGCACGTTCACTGGATGCAGAAACATCTGCTGACCATCCTCAGCTACAAAAAATAAAAAATAAAAAAAATAACATCATATTTTAAAAAAAGTTACCTGAAAAGTAGCTTTAAACATCATTACCAACAGACCCACACACACACCTTGATAGAAGTAGTAATATGGGCCATGATGAGCGGCCTGGCTGGTCTGAGGTATCTCTTCTACAGGTTTGTCCACCACAGCTCTTTCAGGCATCTCTTTGGCCACCTCAAGAACACTCTGAACAGCTATCTCTTCCACGGGCTCCTCATGAGCCTCCTGAAGCTCATCATCAAACGCTGAAGCATACTGCAGGATGGGCTGTGGTAGAACACAGGATAAAATATCACGCAATGAGACCAGAGCTTGTGCTATCAAACATTTTCAGGGATTTACTGAATTTTAAAAACACACACAGAAAAGTTCAAATGTTTTCATTCATTCCACAGGAAAGTATAAGCATTAGAAATGAAGAAGAGGAGCTTTAAAATGTAACACTTTAAAGTCTCTCTGCAAATAAAATGTGTAAAATGATAAATAAGAGAAATAACATCATATTTTAAAAAAAGTTACCTGAAAAGTAGCTTTAAACATTATTACCAACAGACCCACACACACACCTTGATAGAAGTAGTAATATGGGCCATGATGAGCGGCCTGGCTGGTCTGAGGTATCTCTTCTACAGGTTTGTCCACCACAGCTCTTTCAGGCATCTCTTTGGCCACCTCAAGAACACTCTGAACAGCTATCTCTTCCACGGGCTCCTCATGAGCCTCCTGAAGCTCATCATCAAACGCTGAAGCATACTGCAGGATGGGCTGTGGTAGAACACAGGATAAAATATCACGCAATGAGACCAGAGCTTGTGCTATCAAACATTTTCAGGGATTTACTGAATTTTAAAAACACACACAGAAAAGTTCAAATGTTTTCATTCATTCCACAGGAAAGTATAAGCATTAGAAATGAAGAAGAGGAGCTTTAAAATGTAACACTTTAAAGTCTCTCTGCAAATAAAATGTGTAAAATGATGGGAGTTTCTGGAGAGTGAAATTCCATGTGGATTGCAGTAGAATAATTCATTGAATGTTGTTCACTCAATCAGGTGACCAGATCACACTGTTTATGTCGCTCATACAATACCATAAACTTGCAACACAGCACTAGACCAAAACATATTTTCCTATAGGCAAAAACAATGACAAAACTTATTCAACCTCATACTTAAAGGAGCACAGTCTCTACTGACCTTTGATTTTGGGAGGTTCTTGACCACCTCTGGAGAGGAGTGCCCAGATAGAGACAGTTTCCTCATGTCTGCCCCATCAACAAAACCACCATTTTTACAGCCTCCCTTCAAAAGACCCTCCTCTCGCTCCTGTTCATTCAGAGTCAGAGATCAAATGTAAGGGTTATGTGTTTGTGTGCAGTGTTTGGGAGTAAATAACAAAAGTAGGTTTGTCCACCACAGCTCTTTCAGGCATCTCTTTGGCCACCTCAAGAACACTCTGAACAGCTATCTCTTCCACGGGCTCCTCATGAGCCTCCTGAAGCTCATCATCAAACGCTGAAGCATACTGCAGGATGGGCTGTGGTAGAACACAGGATAAAATATCACGCAATGAGACCAGAGCTTGTGCTATCAAACATTTTCAGGGATTTACTGAATTTTAAAAACACACACAGAAAAGTTCACAGGAAAGTATAAGCATTAGAAATGAAGAGGAGGAGCTTTAAAATGTAACACTTTAAAGTCTCTCTGCAAATAAAATGTGTAAAATGATGGGAGTTTCTGGAGAGTGAAATTCCATGTGAATTGCAGTAGAATAATTCATTGAATGTTGTTCACTCAATCAGGTGACCAGATCACACTGTTTATGTCGCTCATACAATACCATAAACTTGCAACACAGCACTAGACCAAAACATATTTTCCTATAGGCAAAAACAATGACAAAACTTATTCAACCTCATACTTAAAGGAGCACAGTCTCTACTGACCTTTGATTTTGGGAGGTTCTTGACCACCTCTGGAGAGGAGTGCCCAGATAGAGACAGTTTCCTCATGTCTGCCCCATCAACAAAACCACCATTTTTACAGCCTCCCTTCAAAAGACCCTCCTCTCGCTCCTGTTCATTCAGAGTCAGAGATCAAATGTAAGGGTTATGTGTTTGTGTGCAGTGTTTGGGAGTAAATAACAAAAGTAAAAAATAAAAACTGTAATAGTGTAACAATGCTTTTTCCATGTCATGTTGACCTTCCAGTAAAAATTCAGCCTTTCTTAAACATCTCATTATATATTTTCAGTTTTATGAAATGGTTTATGAAGCAGAAAATTTTTATAAAACATTAAAGTTAGTTGTTCAAGCCATCAACCCAAATTCTCATTGTTTGTTTATAATAAAGATATTATACAATAAACTACATTAACTTAAGTTACAAAATTCAATAGTCATTAAAATAGCTTTAACAGTTTAAATATTTTTGAGAAATTGATAGTAACTTTTTTTCATTTATATTTGTGCATTTGGCAAACACTTTTAACCAAAGTAAATTCCAAAGTTATGCAGTTATTTTTTTAAATGTTACATTTGTCACATTGTATATTTTCAGTTTTTATAAAAACAGTTTATGAATCAGAAAATGTTTAAGATAACTCCATGTTAACATTCAAGCTTGGTATTAAATTACACAAATTTCATGAGTTACACAATTCAGTGCATAGTTTTTGGCTCCTTAAATACCTTTATTGTTAACATCTATTTTTTGAGCAACCTATACAAACGACTTTTTCAAAACAGTGGCAAGTAAGTTTGAGTGGTTTGTAACTTGGAAAAGAGTCAAAACAGCTTGCCCAACCCAACATTCATATGCCGGTGTGAACGCAAGTGTACCTGCAGCTGCAGTAAGGCGCTCTGTATGAAACAGGCCTGTGGGTCGTCTTTCTCTTGGCTGAGCTGGGTTTGGAGAGCCACCCGCTCTTCAGCCAGCAAACCCAAAACCTGCTTCTGAGACGCCAGCAGCAGCTTGGAGTATGCACGCAAATTCACATCTGCAACAAAGAGGAAAATGCTAAATAAGACACACTCAAGTGAACACCACAAAAGTCTCACGCAACCAGCAGAATGCCTTACCTCCAAAATGAATGGGCTCTTCCACCTTCACCCACTGACAGCTGGGAAGAGCCACCAGCGATCCTTTCTCTCTCCGCATTAGACGCATAGTGATGACGTTACCGGTCACGTATTGATGCGTCTCCATGGCAACCACACTGCAAGTTGACAGGTTTCAGTGACAACAGTGAACAAACTGGAATGTCTTGACTAAATGATGGCACTTCTATATACCAAGGGTTGATTTAAATAAAATAACAGATTTCTAAATCAAGAAGTTCACATTAATTTAAAAACCAAACAAGTATTATAAACAGGAGTTTTTGGGAATGAAACCCCTGTTTGCTTCTCATTATTTTTGACAACATTCGCACACCCTTAGCTAATCAATCCAGTCACGCGCTGCACTTAAAAGTGTTTTATAGAGGATCACATGATAAGAGCACAGGGGTGTAAACACACACAGCTTATCATCCAGCAGCAGAGATCGCCGTCCCGTACGGTTCACAAGCCCACATCAAAACATTATTAAAACTAAAACATAGACAACACTGTATTAGTTGTTATCTACAGCGATTGGATTCTGATATGCTGGAGGCTTTCCTGGGTCCATCCAAAAGCTAGAGGGCAATGTACCACTGAAGCTCTTCTTCTGTCACATGGCAGGCTGATGACAAGAATAGATCTTGACCATGATCCTCATGCATCTGATCTGCTACTAAGAGGAGGGGATAATGAACAACCCAAATATGAATTTCCCCTTGGGTAGATCAAGAATTTCAAAGGAATTCTGTTTGTTTTAGGTTAGTTTAGGTTAATTCAGTTTTGATATTGGTTGATCTGTATAAGAGTCACACACACACACACACACACCACCCAATGTCTGTATTATCAGAAAATGAGTTTATATTGGGCGGATACATGCACTGACACAGACTGACACCACAATAAATTACATAAACACATGGGCTCAAATCTGTAAACCCAGCCTAGTTAGAAAAAAATGGGTTTACTGGTTTAATCAACATGAAATCATACGAGTATTTCTGAGTGCTTATTAATACAAGGATCACAAAATGAAAAGGTTATAGCAGCAGTAGTTGCTGCCATGTCAGCATCTAAGGCTATCTTCACGGCAAAAGCTGAGAAAAATACAAGAGTTAGCCTACATAAATACAAAATAAAAACCAAGCACACTCAAAAATACAGCAGTTAAAATTATACAAGATTTTTTTAAATTCCATGAAAAGTTGTAAATTGAATTTATATATTTAAGGCATAAATATACAATGTAGAAACTGAAGACTTCACTTTGTCTTACAAAGTTTAAATGTGAATGTGTGTGTAATTCAATAAGTTTAATTATAACATAATTAAAATATTTATTATATAACAGGTCAATTAGTTTATTATGGATTTGATTTATTTGATAAGCTAATTAACATCCCCCAGTAAAAGTAAAAATATCCCTGAAAAACAATTTCTGATCAAATATTGACCCTTAACAAAAGTTCATTTCTGACACGGTTCAACACTTTATTGATATATTTAATATTTTTTATTGATATTGCTCGAATTGTTTATTCCAGAAACGGGCAAATCGCTGGCCGTGGCTAGCTACATCCTCTCGACAGACAAGAAACAACCCGTGCCGTGACCCCCAAACACACACACTTTCCCCTCGATTTAAGTTGACCAGGACAGGTGTGTGTTTGTGTGTATGAGACGCTGATTTAACGTTACCTGTTTTGGCTTTAGAGTCTGCAGGAGTCGGGCCTGTAGAGCTGGAACGGGGCGGGATCTTCGTGCTGCTGCTGTTGTTTGCGTTTGGGTTTTTCTCCATATTGAGGCCTAACTCCGGGGAAAGAGCCTTCGAGCTCTCTAGCATGAAACGGGGTAAACGGGGAGAACAACGGGCTGTTGCGAATGCAGGTCAGGCGACGAAGGCCCTTATTCGTTTCTGTCAAACGCGGAGACCCCATTACGGCGACATCTTGACCACAAACAAACCGAGAGAAAAACAGAGACACAAGCTAAATGTCTCGGTAAAAAGCTGTGTGCTAACACAAAAAAACAAGTGCCCAAAAAGCGGGGCCTCGCCCCTTGAAAAGCGCCGACTTTCCTTAGCGTGGGAAATGTTGCGCCCCACAAGGCGTTAACCGCTTTCCAAAAGAGGAAAACGGATTAATAAATGGGTTTTAACCCAAATGTTTGTTCAGCTAAATAATATCAGGCATATGGCGACGAGTCGCCAAACGGGAACCGTAAACACCCGGATGAGGGTTATAAACCCGGCAGGGTTACGAAGTGCGCATGCGCGGATTCTGCCATTCTGATTGGTGCATTTGACCGCAAGACGTGATGTAATGCATGTGTAATCTCACATTCGCATACTTTTTATAGACAGTTTTACATGCAAAATTTCATATTCACAAATGTAAGTTCTCATGCAAAAAACTAGTTTTTTTTTCTTTTAGGAAGGAAACGGAGCATTATATTGATACTATACGATTTTTTTTATGAAACAAAAAAGCAATTAAAACGGTGAAAGTTTGTAAACGCTTTAATATTTTTATATACTCGAGCTCTCTAGCATGAAACGGGGTAAACGGGGAGAACAACGGGCTGTTGCGAATGCAGGTCAGGCGACGAAGGCCCTTATTCGTTTCTGTCAAACGCGGAGACCCCATTACGGCGACATCTTGACCACAAACAAACCGAGAGAAAAACAGAGACACAAGCTAAATGTCTCGGTAAAAAGCTGTGTGCTAACACAAAAAAACAAGTGCCCAAAAAGCGGGGCCTCGCCCATTGAAAAGCGCCGACTTTCCTTAGCGTGGGAAATGTTGCGCCCCACAAGGCGTTAACCGCTTTCCAAAAGAGGAAAACGGATTAATAAATGGGTTTTAACCCAAATGTTAGTTCAGCTAAATAATGTCAGGCATATGGCGACGAGTCGCCAAACGGGAACCGTAAACACCCGGATGAGGGTTATAAACCCGGCAGGGTTATGAAGTGCGCATGCGCGGATTCTGCCATTCTGATTGGTGCATTTGACCGCAAGACGTGATGTAATGCATGTGTAATCTCACATTCGCATACTTTTTATAGACAGTTTTACATGCAAAATTTCATATTCACAAATGTAAGTTCTCATGCAAAAAAAAAGTTTTTTTTCTTTTAGGAAGGAAACGGAGCATTATATTGATACTATACGATTTTTTTTATGAAACAAAAAAGCAATTAAAACGGTGAAAGTTTGTAAACGCTTTAATATTTTTATATACATTTGTATTTGTATACAGCCCCTCTAGTGTGAAATAGTTTATTTCATGTATAATGTTTATTGTTTATATCATGTATAGTGTTCGTCGTATACATGTATTTGATCTTGTTAATAATAAAACAATTAAAAAAAAAATTTATTGACAGATAGTTCTACTTTTGCTATCAAAAAGCATTTATTGTAAACAGACGTTTACAGACATCGTATAACAAATAAGAAACCGCGTTAGATATTTTAATCAGTACAGAATAAATACATACACGTGACTTACACAGCACATAGTCAGAGTTCACAGTAATGTGAATGATATACTCCATTTATAAATCACAAAATGCTCCAGAAAACAAAAACACAAATGTTTCATGTTTTATCAAAAATGTTAGGGCTCTACATTAACCCTTTACTATCAGTTTTACAAAGAACATTAAATATCAGATCATCTCCCTGATCACTGCATGGCTGTATGATGCTTTTTAGTTTTTAGGAGGGGTTTTGGGTATTCCAGGTCCTCCTCTCTGACGTTACTCAGGGAACAGCTCAGGATCACTCTCCTAACCTCCTGTTTCTCGGCTGTGTTGTGGACGGGAAGAGAAAGAGAGTTTGTGTATACAGTATGTGACTCTTCTACATCAGTGGTTCTCAAACTTTGCAGATTAAAAGATTAGCATAAATAAAAAATGAGCATTCTGTCACCATTTATTACTCACCCTTTTTTCTTCTGCTGAACACAGAGGCTTCAGCAGAAAAAAGAAACACGTACAGGTTTATAGTATTGTAATTTCCAGATATGTATGGCTTGC